TTCCTGCTGGACATTCTGGTTCAGCACATCAGAGCAAGGATTCCCAGAAGAAACGCATAATAGCCCAGTAACTGGGTATGAAGTCCCCCCCTAGAAGTTACTAGTTTGCCAAAGATAAAACATTTCTTTCACTGAAGATAACTAGCAAAAGGTTCACTCAACTACAGCATGGAATGCGACTAATTTATTATCTCAAAAACCGGGCAGGCTACAACATTTAGCCGTGTGATTTTTTTTAATCGGCATTTGTGTATTTTAGCTAAGAACAAATTGTTCCACCTCTCAAACAGAAAGTTTTTAAGAACAGCTGATGGTCAGCGCAAAGCAGCAAACAGAAGAGGGCCTCCCGACGAGACGAATAGTGAACTGACCAATTTCAAAAGCAGCTCTAATGGCAGAACACCATTTGCAAGATTACTATTAAAAATAAGGTATCAGTATTTCATTCGAACATCAAACCAAAATCTTCTTAAGCTGCAAGCTATGTGTACATTACAGACTCTGTCAGTCAAAGGTGTGAAGTAGGAACAGTCCCAACATACAGCGCTGGGCCAGCAAAAGCCTCTATGGGAGATGCATTTTAGTCACCAAGACTGTTTAAGTAGGGGAGTTCACTGGCTGAGGAAGGGAGGGAGCACTCTGCTGATATACTTTAGTTGAAATTTCATACCACTTGTGTAGTATACTTGTGTGATTAGAGCCCAGCCTCCTTGTACTATCTTAGTGTCTCAATTCCAATGGTTCCATTTTGCCCTTTATCTCCAAAACACTTCGCAGGCTGCTAAGGCCCCTTGATCAACATTTGTTCAATCTCTTGAGGATGTTTCGTAAGAGTTAAAATAAACCAGCCCCCTTCAAGAAAGTGTGTTCATTAATTCAACTATTATGCACTTTCTCTCTTCTTCCTCGCCCACCACACTGGAGATTACACACCAATTCCTAGAAAGCAAATAACCTGAAAAAAACCAAAAACCAAAAAACGGTAAGCCCATGTTAGCTTTCCCCATTTATCAAGAATGTGAAGTGCCATTTTGGAAGTGCTACCAATCCATCTTCTCTTATAAAGTGCCACTAAAGTTCAGAAGGATCTTGCTGGAACAACGACTTCCCAATCACATTTCAAATAAATATTAAATTAAATTTAAAAGGTCTAGTCTAAAGCTTTAACTGAATAAGGCTGTCACAAACAACCGATCTGAAAACACTGCCAACATACTCACCCCCTTTAGCAACCTGTACATAGCTGCAATAACTGTAAAAAGGCCAGTGTGGTAGAAGCATTTTCAGCTTGCAACTGTTAAATATCTTGTTGCTGTTGCCCTAAAAGCTGCGAAGTTTCAGACTATTCTAACCTTCTCCCTTATTCCACGTCCTCAGCTATAATCAATCAATCAGAGATGCCAGTAGCCAAAGAAAAACAAGTTTCTTTCAGTGTTATAAGGTCTGAAACACAAACACGCTTTTGTGCCAAAATGTTTAGGATTCCATTTAGATTTGGGATGTATATTTTTATGTATGGGCAGTTTCTCTGTGGGAATGGTTAGGTCATCTTGTGAACTGTGGCACTATCCCACGAGAAGTTGGTCAAATACTGTCCAAATATGTATGAAAGTGCTTTTTGGAGTACAGATGGAATTCTTCTCTCCTGCCTCACCCCCTCCAACCCCATTTATGTTGATAGCACAATACGCCATCATCAGCAATGAACTGAGACTGACATTTCATGGCGGCTGGTCCAGGATTGTGAAGTGGACACCCCAAAGAATAAGGAACCACCTCAAACCTTATCACTCTCTACCTTGTGTTCAACGCCCATTTCTTTGGCCTTGCCTACATTAACTAATACAAAGCAATATGTACTGGTTTATTTAAGAAAACAAACAGAAAAATTAAAACACTAGGTTCAGCTATACATCTTTCTTCCATGGGGTGAAAAAAGGAGAGGAGCCATATCATTACCCAATGCATTATGGATAGAGGCCACCAGATACTATATAGTTATGAATATCACCGACATAATTATGAAGATCACCAACTCACCCACTTATCTGAGCTGTTATCTTGGACTGGCTCCCAAATGACGGCTGCACCACACGCAATGCTGACAGAACGTCACTGTTGAAGGACTTAAGGACCCAATCAAGTGAGACCTCTTCCATCAGCACCTCAACGAAAAACTGGCAAATTCCAATCAACAACAACGAGAGAATGGCGGCAGCACTTGGGATGCCGTCAAGTCCACCATCACTAGCGCCTGCTGTCGAATTCTCTACCAGGAAACACCGAGACTGGTTTGATGAAAATGACCAAGAGATCCAAGAGTTGATCAACCAACGGCACAAGGCCTTTTGTGCTTGGCAGAACAACACCAACTCCAAGCAAAAGAAACTGAACCTCCAAAAAGCCACGGCAGAGATCCAAAGGAGGGCCCACAATATGAAGAACAGATGGTGGGAAGACAAAGCAAAGGAGATTCAATGTCTTGATGGCATCCACAAGATGAGCCGTTTCTTTAGTACCACCAAAGCCACTTACAGTCCAAGTACTCAGGAACCAACCCCCTTAAGACCTAAGGATGAAGGAGACCTGATCAAGGAAAAGAGAACCATCCACACCTGCTAAAAGGAGCATTTTGAAGGCCTTTCCAAATCAAAACTGGTGTTGATGAGAGTGTTTGCAATTCCATCCTGCAACACCCAGTCAGAGACGATCTCAGAATCCCTCCAACCCTTGACAAGATTAGGAGAGCCATCAAGCTGATAAAAAATGACGAGACATCTGGAGCAGATGAAATCCCTGCTGAAATCTTCAAGCAGGTGGGAGACGGACTTACGTCACAGCTCCACGCCCTCATCCTCAGGTTCTGGAATGAGGAAATCCCAGCTGGCCTCGGAGATACCACGATTGTGACACTCTTCAAGAAAGAAAACAGGTCTGACTCTGGAAGTCAGAGGGATCGCCCTGCTGTCCACAACAGGAAAGATCATTACAAGAACCCTCCTGAACCATCTCCTTCCATTTGCTGAAGAGGTCTTTCCAGAATCTCAGTATGGATTTAGGGCATCAAGAGGCACAACCGACATGACCTTCACTGCTCAACAGCAACAGAAAAAGTGCCAAAAACAACATTAACCTCTCTATATGGCCTTCTTTTACCGCAAAGGCCTGTGACTCTGGTCAACCAAGAAGCGCTGTAGAGGATCTTTCTGAGTACAGATGCCCACCAAATTGTGTCACCATTCTTTGCTTGCTCCCTGACAGTATGAGCAGCTCTTCTCTGAAATGGATCTGATGCAGATCCCTTTGAGGTGAAGACGGGAGCTAATCAAGGTTGCATCGTTGTTCCAACACTCTTCTTGATATTCCTTACTGCTACATCTGACCACCAACAAGCTTCCAGTCGGAGGGGAGCAAAACTACCAAATGGATGGTAAGCTGTTTCATCTCAGCGGATTCTGAGCCAAAACCAAGAAAACACCGACCTCAATCATCAAGCTCAGGTCAGGTATGCCGATTATGCTGTAGTGTGTGCTCATCAGAAGCAGACCTTGAAGCAATCATCAACATCTTTACTGAGGCATACAAGAAAATGGGACTGATGCTTAACATTCACAAGACTAAGGTCCCCCATCAACAAGCAATCCCCAGCTCTGGTCATTCAGATTTATGTTGAGACTCTGGAGAACACCCGAGTATTTTCCATGCCTCAGAAGCCATCTCTTGCAGAAGGCCAACATTGACAAAGAAATCCAACATCACCTCAAACACACAAGCACAGCCTTTGGATGCCTGAGGAAATGGGTGTTCAAAGATTGCAACATCAAATTGAAAACAAAGCTCATGGTTTAATCAAGCAGTCATGATCCCTAACTTGCTGTACCGAGCCGAGATGTGGACACTGTACAGGAGACACCTCAAGTTGCTGAAATACCATCAATGCTACCTGCAGAAGATCCTTCGAATCCAGTGGGAAGACAGATGTGCCAACATTAGCATCCTTTCACAAGCAAATACCACGAGCAACAAGACAATGATCTTTCAACAACAACTTGCTGGGCTGGCCATGTCATCTGGATGTTAGACTCCAGAAGCAAGTTGTAATTGTAAATCAATGCATATATGCTCAAGAGGAGGGCAGAAAAAGCATTACAAGGACATCCTCAAGGCCAACTTGAAAAAATGCAAACTGACATTAACTCATAAGAGACTATCGCCCAGGACCACCCCAAATGGAGGAAGAGTCTGCTACAAGGATCTCAGTACTTCGAAGCCTCATGATGACAACAGGAGATGGAAAACCAGGAGTGGCAGAAACAGCATGTCGTGGACTGAACAAAGAATCAGAGCCACCCACCCCACACAGAAACACGCCCAAGTTGCAACAGAACCTGTTGATCCCGGATTGGCCTTGTCAGCCATCTTCGGACCTACAGATAAGACGATCACGAAAGACTATCATCCTCAACTGCCAGGGATTGCTGATGAGTTATGTATGCAAAACAAAAAAACCTACATGAAAAAGAGGTAGCCTCCAGAAGAACATAGGAGTAGTGTCAATCTACTGCAGATAACTTCATAAGCTGTTTGCTCTTACAGATCCCAAAGCTACTTTAAAATACCAAAAGCTACTGACACAGAGTACACAAGACCCTATCCTGTCATCAACCCTCAGCTGAATTTTCCAGAACTGTGGTTTTAAAGCCACACTCCTTTAGACTAGGACTCTAATAACCTGCCAAACCATTCAGCAAGTTGCACATACCGCAAGTATCCAAAATGCAAATGAAGTTAAA